CTACCAGAATGATCATAAAACAAACGAAAACTAACACATATTAGAATAGAAAGCAATTGAAATGCTGAGGTACATGATAAATAGAGTGCAGCTGACGACTGTCGTATCTTTCGACTAGTTAATGTAAGTAGGTTACCTAAACCACCCATTATGCCAAAAATGTAGGTGACAAGATCGATATATAATGTGATGTTGGAGAGGATTTGTTTTAGTGTAGCTGAATAGTTGGTGGTGGTCGACATATGTATTTTATTGCTCTGTTATTCAATATAGAAAACAGACGAAGATATTTGTTAAAATAAAATGAAATGAAATGACTATTTGCTTCTTCTTTTTATTATTATCATATGTGTTCTCATTAAAAGTGCATGTCAATCGCAATCTATCTATGGCTTCACTAATTAATTATCTTACATGAATGTGTTTTAACATTTTCAAACATATGTAATCAGTGTTTGATGATGAATGACAAATATAAAAATTTAAAAACATGATAAATGCAGTTGATAAAGCACGATCTAATATATATATATAAAAGAGTTAAAAGGAATATAATTGATAGTGATGTAAAGGAAGGAAAGATTATTTCCTGTAGCCAAATTATCTTTTCCTAAATAAATCTATTGTTTTTTAATTACTTGTTTTACCAGGAAATAGAAAATGTTGGTTTTTCGGTAGATGCGCATCTCCGCGAAATAAACTGACATGGTTTCATATTTCTATTTTTCTATTGACGATTTCAAACATTTATATATAACGTGCTAAATACTTGGCATATGATAATTTAGCCAAGGAAGGTATTAGATTATCATGCTATTATTTTTGCTCATTGAAATGTAAAGCGCTGTGCCGTTTGAAATATACTGCGTCATACGCGAATATTTATAGTGTATAATTACTTATTTTATTAACAATAGAATGATCTTTGCCAAACATGATAAGATATAAAAAGACGTGGACTTTGTAATATTAAATGGCGCAGTTTCTTCAGGCAAAAAATGAGTAAAATTATTTTTATTCAGTTCGAGCAACTAGTTCATTTCTTTTTGTCCTCGAAGGGCGCAAAAAATTAATAATCTTTCTTATATTCATTCATAATATAATTTTATCTATTTCAAATGTTAATAAAAGATATCAGTACTACCTATTTATAGAATACATGACAAAATCTGGAAGTTTTTCTTGATATTAAAATCTTAATATTCAATTAAATAAAATAAACGAAAAGTCAATTCTCATATAACATTAAATACTTAATAAGAGTAAACTAAACATCATATCACAAATTACATAGAAAATCAGACGTCATAGACTGAACTCTGTCAGGCGAAATAGTCGTTTTTTATGTTGCTTTATTTGGATTTATTCATGCAATTAAATAATTATCAGATCAATATTGAAAGAAATCTTTATTTCAAAAAAAGACCTTCTTTAGTTTCAACCCTGTAGTGTTTCGAATAAATTCCAACTTTTTTCATGTTCAATAGTTCTATAATACAGAAAATCATCGATATAATCTATCTTGGAAAAAACTTTTTAATGTATGTGTTTTATTTGGAGTTTATATAAGAGAACAATAACTGAAATTTCGCAATCTTTGTCATTGTTTACATAATAGAATAAAAAGTAATAACCAGTTGTTATTGCGCAATCTAAATACAAGAATATAAAAATGAATCAAACAGGCATATTTATGTCTATATGCTTACCTGTATTTCTATTCTCAGTAAAAAAAATCATGCCAAACGGTCGTAAACGTGCAGAACGCGCTCGTAAAGAGCGTGAAGCATTGTTAATATCCAATCGATTTAATAATTCTTCTAGAGAATCATTAACATTAGATCAACTTCGTTCAATTCATTTTACGCATATTTATATTCATCCAACATTTGGTAATACAAAATTTATGACTGTATTTGAAGTATATTTTGCTATAAAATATAATTTAATGAATCTATATCGATTAACACCCATTCGTATATTTGAATATGAAGGTCAGTTATGGAGTGTTGATAATCGCCGATTGTGGGTTATGCATCAGATAAATAATTGGCATATAGAAGGTCCATATAATGAATCTCAATCATCGACTCGTTTTCAAGAACTTATTAAGAAACACCGCGGCTTAAAAGGTACATCTGGTGACGAGGTTCGATTTTGTCGTGAGGCTCCCTGTGAATGTTGTGTTGATGCATGGAATAATCAATTATTAGATGAACATATTGCTACAATTCATTTAAATATGACACTTGATGAAATTAAAAATTTATCAAAATGTATTTTACATTATCAAACACATGAACAATGTAATTGTGTAGGAAATGATGAACCAAATTGTTTTACACTTTCAGCAATGATTTATGCTCGTCAACAAAGAATTATTAAACTTCAACAAAATAATCAAGACATTATTGATGATCAACAGATAAAAGATGACAATGTAGGAATAAGAAATAAATAAAATATGTAAATAATTTTATAATTATATTTTGAACATAATTAAATAATACAAAAAACATTTTATTAAAAATAAAAAGAAATAACTTTAGCATTCAGTGGTTCATTTCTATTATACAGCAATTGATAATCATGTAAAATATAGAGTAACTCAACTTAATTATAATTGAGAATAAAATAGTCTAATTTATTATATACTATCTTGAAATAAATGTTCAATTAAGTAAATAAAGATAAGTTAATTCAACTCGGTTGAATTGTTTGGACATTTTGTTTCCTTCAAATAAGTAATTACATCATTAATAGAAATCTGAAAAACGGCAACACTTTATTTTCATCAATGTCAAACAAAATCATCAGTTAATCTTTTTTTACATTACCAGTAGAGTTTCTCTATCGGATTCTTAATGAATAGAGTGACTTTAATAATCTATGGCGATCGTTTTAAATACAATCATAGATATGAAATGAACTTATTTTTTTGTTATAATTATTTAATTTTTAATATAGAAATAAATTCAAGCAAAAATATTATTTTTTTTCATCGTTACTAAAGCAACATAAAAGAAACGGGTGGACGTGAGTGTTGATTAGGGACAGATTGTTACCCACGTCGACACTCTCATGTGCGCACTCGCATACGCACCTCCACACACACCGCTAAACATTAGACGGAGGTTCCAGTTTGCTTTGCGCGTTAGCAAGATTTTCACGATAAAGCTGTATACGTGGGTGATTTCCTGGTAGTGCGTGTCTGCTGTTTTCCAGCGCATATTCGAACAAATGAAGTGCTCGACGATACTCTCCCTTCTGGTAATATATTGCACCAATGTTGTGATAGCTGTGAACTAGCTCAAGATGGTTAGCAGGTAAACAGTTTTTTTGAATTTCTAGTATGTGTTCGAACATCGATAGTGCTCTTTCGTAGTCGCCCATATTATGATATAACGCAGCGATATTACTATATGTTTCATTCAAATCTTTATGATTTGATGGAAGTGATTTTTGTCGGATTTCCAACGTTTTTTCGAAGAACAATAGTGAATTCGAATAATCGCCCATTTGGCAATACGTCATCCCGATATAGTTGTATGTAGTAGCCAATTGAGGATGATGCAGAGGAAGAGATTTTTGTTTGATTCTCAACTCTTTTTGATAGAAAGAAAGTGCATCGGAGTAATCTTTCATGTAGAAGGATACGAGACCGATCTTGTTGAAAGTATTAGCTAGCTCATGATGGTCAGAAGAAAGAGATTTTTCTTGAATTTCTAATGTTTTGTGATGGAACGAGAGTGCACTTAAGTAGTTTCCCATGGCGTGGTGCACTGTACCAATGTCACTGTATGTAGCAACCAAGTCAGGATGATGAGGAAGGTTATTTAGATAGATATTAAGTGCCTTCTCTAAAAACATCAGAGCATTCAGGTGGTCTCCCATCTCAAAATGCACTCCACTGATGTATTTATAACTGGCCGCCAGATCGGAATGATTAGGAGGGATGGAGTTTTTATTGATTTACAGCGATTTTTCATGAAACAATAATGAACTCGAGTAGTCTCTCATATGGCGATACACGAGACCAATGTTATTGTAAACGGCAACCAGAGAGGGATCATTAGGTGGAAAATGTTTTTGTCGGATTGTGAGTGACTTTTGGTAGAACAAAAGTGCGCTCGCGTAGTCCCCTGTTTCATCATACGCAAGACCAATGTTGTTGTAAGTCACAGCTAGATCAAGATGATCGGAGTTCAGAGTTTTTTCTTGAATTCCCAGCTGTTTCTTTAGTAACAAGAGCGATTTAAAGTAGTCTTGAAGGATTATATGAAGTCTACTAATGGTAGTGTAGCTATTGACCAACGCACAATGAGTAGGAGGAAGCGATTTTTCTTGTATTTCAAGTGTTTTTTGATAGAACGTGATCGCACTCGAGTAATCTGCAATTTTTTCATACGCTAGACCTATATGGCTACAAGTACGAGCTAAATAAGGGTGAATTGGTGGGAGAGATTTTTGTTGAATTTCAAGTGCTTTTTGATGAAACACGAGTGCGTTCGTGTAGTCTGCCATCTTTTCATGTATTACACCGATATTATTATTGGTAAACGATAGCGATAAATGATTGGAAGGAAGAGACTTTTGCTCGATTTCAAGTGCCTTTTGATGAAAGAAAAGTGCACTAGAATAATCTTTCATTGATTCATACGCTCCACCGATGTTATTATATGTGGTAGCTAGAGATGGATTATTTGACGACAGCACTCTCTGTTTGAATTCAATTGCTTTATTGTAGAATTCGAGTGCCTCCTCTGGAACGCCTTTTTGAACCTTAACTAATCCAAGCTGATGGTTTAGAAAAGCAAGTTGAATTTCATCATTAGCGGAAGCGTGGTTAAGTGAGATTTGATAGAATTCTTCTGCTTTGTCCCACTCTCCCATTCGGATCATCAAACTGCCTAAACGGTCCCATTTTGCGTACCCTGTTATCTCTTGGCGAATATATTCGGTTAAGATTTTGAGCTGCTCGTCGTTATCGCTAGTTAACATCAACTGTACTTGCCATTTTCGTTCTTCTATTTCTGTCATGTCACCTATCCGAAAGATTGTGTGCATGGAGAATAAAATCTCTTTTTCTTCGTTAGAGAAGTTACTGACATTTTCCAAAGACGCAAATGGAAAAGATGTAATAGCAGGATCAATCTTGATTTCAAAAAGAATCGCGGTTATGTCAGGATCATATTGTGGGTTTGGAAAGAACATTAAGGATACTTGTACATCGGCACTAGTTGATAAAAAATTGTTGAATGACAATAGACCACCTTTGCTGTGGCGTATTTTCTCGAATTCACTATTGAGCATTCCTTGACTACGGTAGACAGTTAGAGGCAATCGAGTATCGGATTGTTGAGCATGTAATTCTTCGATTTGCCGATGAATATCGCGTAAAAAGAAGCCCATCTTGGTAACAACATCAACATCTATCGTTCGCAAAGCTCGATTGAGTGTCGGATAAATAAAACTATCTCGCGTGTACCACCAGATGGGCGTATAGAGTTGATAGTCTTGTTCAAACTCATGGACAATTCTCAGCCGAAACTCATTATCACCGTATTTCTCGCGCCACAATCGGACCAGTTCTTCTTTTGCATGTTTGTCATATTCGCTGTCAAGTAAAATTTCTTTAAGTATTCGTGAGTACATAAATAAAGGTTCTAGTTCATTTAAATCTTGCTTTGAGTAGTCATCCAACGAGACAATACTGATTGAAATTAATTCATGATCACATTGTCTCGTGCCTTGCTTAAGTAAGTCACATATGGGTGTAATCTCAGTAAAAAATCCTTTCATTTTTGTCCATTTGGTTCCTGACATCTCTTGCTTGCTCTTGTCGCCGCCAAATATAAAAACAGAATACAATTGGGGTATCTCGTGAATGAGAGAAACGAGCTCTTGTCCAAAGATATTCGACATAATCATGAAGACTTTGTCATCTGTAATATCAGTGAGATAGTCAATACAATGATCAATATCTGAGAATATTTTGATGAGAATCTCGACGTTTCGTAGTTGAGTAATAAAATGTTGAAAATCTACATTGGACTGATTAGTATTATAGTCTAACCAAATAACAATGAAGTTTTGAACTATGCGAGATTCAGAACGTCTTAAAGAATGACTTTGATTCGCAGATGTTTCTGTGTGCGTGAATGACGATTCGAGATCATTGAAATTTCGTTTGGAGTAATCATCCAAAGAGACGATACTTGTCGGGATAAAATCGAGTTCACACTGTTTCACATCCTGACTGATTGAATTACAAATAGATTCGATCTCAGTAAAAACTCCCTTCAGTTTCTTCCACTTGTTCGTCCATACATCATTTGTTGACCCCTCTGTAGAGTATACATAAATAAAATAGAGTTGCGGTAAATCATGGATGCGAGAGATGAAATGTTGGCCGAAGGTACTGGATACAATAAGTAAGATTTTTTTCTTGTTGATTTGTGTGAGAAAATCCACACATTCGCTAACATCAGATAATATTTTGATCACAGATACGCTGCGTCGAAATTGAGCAATGTAATGTTGACAATCTTGATTTAATTCACTGATGTCAGAATCCAACCAAACGAGAACAAAATTCTGATCGATACCAGCGGTCAGATCTGCTGGGAGACAGCTTTGATGCACGTGTATTTTTGAAGTAGTCAACTGTTCCTCGTTATCAATGACATTATCAGAATAGTTCGACATCTTGTATAGTCTTGCGATCAGATGTTACTTTTTATTTGAACAGCATACACTGAGTATTGTTGATAGATTAATCGTAGAGTTGAAAATAGTTTGTCTACTTCCTTTCTAACGCCACTTACTAGTCGGGCTACTGTGATGTGAATGATGAATACGTGTCAGTGGCGGTATTCTATTGCTTCTCTGCTTGAATGAGCAAAATATATGTTTTTCGAATATTATTTTGTTTTTTGCCTTCCTTCACATCGAAGACATGAGTAATGACGTTGTCATTTTTCCTCTTCCTTACACGTGCAGCAGTTTCATCGATTTTATGTCATTCATTTTATAATTAAAATGTATCTTGCCATTTATCAATGTGTATGTGCATCTCATTACAAATAGTTAGAAAAAAACTTAGTTCTTTCCGTTGACATATCGAAGAAAAGTCTGTCCTGTTAACCACTATCAACCCTAACCAAAAAACTCTCCAATGTCTATTTGATTCAAATCGAAGTATATATAAGCAGTTCATGATTCTGAATAAGATTGCATTGATTAGTAGTGGGAAATAGCTTTGCAAAAAAGTAAATGATACCACAAATTGTTTGTAATTACGACATATTATTTCAGATGGATTGTTCAAAGTTTTAAGAAACTTTCAATTGTCAATAAACGATAAAAATTTTATACTTTGAGATCGTTTTTTTGAATATATGATCAAATAGTGAGCAACTTACTTAAGATTTGGTAGAAGTTATGTTATCTTGATAAAAAACTGCATATTAAAACAAGAGATTCATCAAGTAATATATAGGTTTTATTTAATTCGATATGAAATTGAAGGTGGATGTGGGTCTAGGTGTGAATTAGACCATATATAGATGAATTCATTCTTGTGAACTGCGAAGACGAAAAAGGCGACTCTGAAATCTGACTCCAGTTTGTAGTCTCCAACTTGAATAAACTTTAGAAATTTGTTTGTAGTTTGGTGACATTTAAATCATTGTAGTACATAAAAATATGAGCACATGATCGGATAAACAAATCATTAAAAACGAACAGCTTAGGATTGCCATATTTAATCTGTCTATTATTAGCTTTTCTTAAAACTTGGTATGTTAATAGCAGCATAATTTTGTTTGTTACGTAATATATGAGGGATAAAAATGTTCTTGAACAAAAATAAAAGTACTTGATTGTTTTACAGATATAACTTCGATTTTGACTTCGAAAAAATTTTTTTCGCAAGTCCGACTCGATGGAGTCTCAACTGGAGCCTTGTTACTTAAATTCGATCAAGAGAATAGACACACTGTGAATAGAAGCTTTACTGAGCTCTTAATTTCACTATATTTAAGCGAAATGTTAATACACTCGATCGAAAAAGCATTTTTACGATATAAATGATATTCTGTTTCGAATATAACCTTTCATAAAACTGCTCGCATGTAATCTCCTACATCCCGTCCATCTTTGTGTTCTCTGCAAATATAAAAAGAATAGAAAAATGACTCCCTTTTGCGTTCTTCTTGTCTTCAGAATAAAAACAGTGCGATTAAGCTGGTTAATATAAATATATACTGTCATCGTTCTTTTTTTTCTTTAGATTTTTGCGTACGATGACGAGGCAAAAAAAAACATACAAACACATGTATATGACAACGCACTTTCTTTGATATATATATATATATGTGAATATTTCATAGGCTTTTTCTTCTTTCTTTCCTTCGTCCTCAGATATGTCAACATACAAACTTATTTATGGTAATGGTCGTGGTCGTGCTGAAGTTTCTCGTTTAATTTTTGTTGCTGCTGGTGAAAAATTCGAAGATGTTCGTCTTGAAATGAGTGAATGGCCAGTACGTAAAACTGAAATGCCTTTAGGTCAAGTTCCCGTTCTTGAATATAATGGCATTAAATTACCACAATCAATATCTATTGCACGTTTTCTTGGTAAACAATTTCAATTAGCTGGTAAAGATAATTTTGAACAAGCTAAAGTTGATGCTGTTGGTGATACAATTGTTGATACATTGAATTCATTTTATCCAATACGTGGAGAAAAAGACGAAGCAAAAAAACAAGAACTTACTCAAAAATTTCTCAATGATGACTTACCGAAACATTTTAAAAATCTTGAAACTTTAGCAAAATTATATGGTGATGGTGGTGCATTTTTTGTTGGAAATAAATTAACATGGGTCGATTTATTCTTTCATGATGCTTGCGAGAATTTTCTTCAGATTGATGAAAATATTTTTAAGAATTATTTATGGTTAAAACAAAATCGTGAAGAAGTAGAAAAACAACCCAAAATTGCAGAATATCTTAAAAATCGACCAAAAACAGCATATTAAGAAACTGTCATACATTAATTTATTTTTTAATAAACATTTCATACTAAATCCCTAAAAAATATTTCTCATTATCTTACTACATATGATATTTAATAAAAAACAATTTCTAGCTAGTGGATAAAGTTTCTTGGAGATATAATTATATCAAAAACTTTTATTAAAAACATTAAGCAGAATGATTTAACTGAAACTCAAAATTGATCTATATTTCTAATGGGTATTAATAATAGAAATAGATTATTACCAGAATTTTGTCAACAGTAAAAAGCGTGTGGTTGTGGTGGGTGTGGGTGAGGTTAGCTGAGTCCTCTAGGTCACACCCACACCCACCCATACCCTCAAGGTTGTTACTTCACTCAAATATTTTCATTAAGTCAAAGTATTATGGGATAAAAAATTAACCAATTATCACTAACTGATGATTAGTGAATAATAACGCTCATCAAACACTTTCTACAAAATAGTTCTACAAAGTTTTTTATTTTAACCTATTTTTCATGAATAACGCGGAACGTAAAATTGTTGTTAAAGCGCGGTTTTTTTGCAAAAAACGAAAAAGAGACGTTTTTAAGTGTTTTTTTTCTCTAGTCTATCTAAAAATAAACTGTGTAAAGTAATTAAAAATAAGAAATTGTACAGATAAACACGTTTAAACGCCGTTTTCACCATTTGATTGAAGCAAATTATGATTGACTAAGATATACAACATAATCATTTTTATGAGAATATTAAATATTAACATCATAAACTATATAATTTAATTTAAAATTTTCTGTGATATACATATAAATACTAGGAAGTCAATCCATAACCAATTTTAACAATCTCAAGATTACAAACAGTTTCGTATATTATTATATTTGTGACGTAGTCACAGAGATTGTTATCGTGCGTTTTGTTTTAGTTCTTTCTTTAATTTCTATAGATGTTTCTTTCGTTCTCTTGTATTCACTTGGAGTATTCTTACTTGGAAAAATCCCTGTTATTGTTGAGGAATATTCCCATTTGGAATATTCCTTCCCCTACACACACTTCATCATATATATAGATGTGTGTGAAGTAGTATATATGACAATAAAGTATCATTCAACATTCGCACTTCAGAACGTGACAATATTATAGTAGTATTCTACAAACCTTGAGTAAGTATCATGTTAAATGTTAATAATAATCGTATAAAGATCGAGAATTTTCGTATTATTTATAAAAATTTCATTTTCAGTGTATATGCTTTCTTTCAGGCATTTTATTCGATTTTATCAGTTCTTAATTTGTCTTTTGTGAATATGAGTCATCCGCTTTCTAATAGAAATAGAAGAAAAAAGATCCGTATATTTTTATAGTAAAAGTTGTCATAAAAGAGACACGATATATGTGTCATTTATTCTTTACATTAAAAAAGTGAATACTGCGGTAAAAACTACTAGCGATATGGAAGAAAGAAAAAAAAAGAAATAAGAAAAAACCCAGTGTGCATGCTTAATATATTGGGAAGAGAAAAATAAATAAGAAGTTTGATACATAAACATTTGAGTCATTTCTCTTTCTATCATTATTAGTTCCAAACATCGAAATTTTAAATCTATTCTTCTTTTGTTTTAAAGATATGTCGTCTACTTTTCGTCAACTCTACTTATTTGATTGTGATGGTGGTCGCAGCAGCCTTTTTTCTGAACCTCAATTAGATCAACTTCCAAATAACTGTGAACTGTATTTATTTTGGAATAATATCGATGAAGTTATCACCAAGAAATTACAACAACTGGCAAAATATCATAATGTTCATCTTGCACCCAGTCATTTAAAGAATTGTAAGAACTCAGCGGATGGAAAGTTAATTTATTTTCTTGGTAAATTAGCAAATGAATTTAGTAGCATTACAATAGTTGGCGGTGGTGATTGCGTCTATGAAGAAGTTATTGAAGCTGTAAAATATGATTATCCTAAAAAGGAGATCACACTACAGAAAATTGAACATCCAGATAGCGTTAAATTAGAAATATTATTAGGTGGTTCTCGAAGTAATATTAAAAATTATTCGGATGAAAATGATCAAAAATTAGTTGATGGAATGTTACAAAATAAACCCAATATAATTACTCGTTCTATTCATATGGTATTAAATCAAAAATATCAATGTCCTGAATGTATAAATAGCAAACGTCAATTTACTCCGGATGGACTTCGTGCACATCTTTTAGGAGCAAAAAAACATCTAACGTCTGTCACAGATGTGTCAAAAGTCCCTGTAAATGTTCAGGAAAGTAAAATGTTTTGTCCGAAGGGAAAAATGAAATTAATTCTTCCGTCAACAGGAGGAGTATTTGAAAGTTCAAAGAAAGGTAAAAAATGTCCACTATGTCCAACACAAAAACAAAAATACAAAACAATATTATTGTATAAACATTTGCAAGAAAAACATTCAAACAATAAAAACCTTCAAATTCGATGTTGCAGCGAAGAGATTATCTACAAAGATCTAAATGAATTCTTTCAACATATTTTACATGATCCATTCGACATGACATATAAAATATACGCTTAAATTAAAACGATTTTCCGCTTTGAAAATGAAGGCCTTTTCTATTGTATTTCAGTGTTGTATTACTTTTAAGTAAAATTGCAGAACTATCAATAATCCCAAATACTGAACTTTTCTTTTAAGGCATCCTTAGAATATCTTTTGCGGGTGCAGATGTCGGTGTATCTTATTTATCTCACCCACAATCACATCCAACCTATACTTTTATAATCGAACACTATATTGTTAATCTAATGCTATATATCTGCGTTCTATATCCGATGCTTGAAAATTGAGAAAAGTAAATTTTTAATTATGAATAAAATCGTGTGGAATAGCTTTATTTGAGGAAAGCAATCATTATGCTATGAAGACTAACAAGAGAAAAGTAAAAAAAGCGTTTAGTTCTGGCATTTGCCAGCAATAGATTTCCAGCTTCCATTCACTTTGCATTTGCACGATGCGTAACCAATTCCTCGACATGAACCAGTTATAGCTCCCATATTTTTGCCCATGCAATTGGCTTCACAACGCGCTGAATTCCATGGACATCCACATGAGCCAGCCGAAGCCATATCTATAAGGCAAAAGTATTTTTATGTTTACAAGCTTTTGAAATCATTTCTAACATACCAAATGTAGTTCCAAGGATGAGAACGATGACAGCGAGAAGAACGAGTGTACGAGTCATACTAATGAATTTTTTCGATTTCGAAATAAAATATAATTTGTATTTGTATCGAATAGCTTGTATATTAACGTTATGTACTATCGACTATCAGAGCCTATTGTATATATACCTTTTTAACTTACCACACAAACCACTAAGCTCTCTTATCAGTTCCGTTTTCCTATCTTTATCTTCATAAAAAGGCTTCTCATATTACAAATAACAAATCATGAATCAATATTGGATCAGAGCCACTTGATACTTTCACATAGGGCCTAAAGTATAATGCCGTCATACTTATTAATTCCTTTTTTCTATTTTTCCTTATGAAATTTTCTTTTGACAAAAATCTCATAATCAAAAAAAGACAGAGATGAAGTTATTGGTGAGATCGAATATTTTCTTGTTGAAACTGTGGGCGTGGGCATGAACACTGATCTTTGGTTGATTCGTATTCCCACACTCATCCACACCCTAAAATAAACTTGTATTCTTCGCAGAAGAAATGAGATGTTATCATAGAATAATATATGTTATCGACAAAGTTTAACGATATTTGTACAAATATTTGATTATTGATTTATAATCATGGAAGCATAGCAACTGTATAATGAGAATCTATCTCATCGTTGTTACTACACAAAAAAATTATTATTCTCTGAAAGAAAAGAAATGTATCAATTACTTTAATTATAAATAGTGTCGAGACAATGTTCGATTTCTAACCAAAGAAATAATAAAAATGGAGATTTTTTGTTGTTTGAGAACGTATTCATAAGACACACGTAATAAGATTATCTAACTTTTTCTTTGACTTATATGTGTTTGATAGTCGTATTACTTGTGTCTTATGAATATGTTCTCAAATAACAAAACATCTCCATTTTTATTATTTCTTTAGTTAAAAATCGTCTCGACGCTATTTATAATTGAAGTAATTGATACATTTCTATTCTTTCAAAGAATAAATGTTTTGTGTAATAACGATAATGAGCTGGATTCTCATTATACAGTTGCTATGCTTTCATGATTATAAAACAATAATCAAATATTTGTACAGGATTCTTTGATATGATTACAGATGTTTTTATATAAGTACCGTTAAAATTTGTCAATAGCATTTATTATTCTATAGTAGCATCTTATTTCATTTATTCTCTCATTTCTTCTGCGAGAAGAAGAAGTTTCACTTTTTTATCAAACTTCATACTACTATGTAACATTTACTCGATGTCGTTTTTATTAAAAACAACGTATCATATCTAAAGTGTTTTAGATGGAATCAAAAAAATCATGGGAAGATTTGATTTTCGATGCTATTGCAAATAAGAAAATCGACTCTCGTACTTGCAGAATTTATAATCGACAAGTACAGACTCCTCGAGATGATGCAAACAATAAATGTTGTTGTGGTCGCTTAGTTCGACGCCATAGTTTTGATGATCCCAACAACATATCACTAAGTGCAAACAAAGAAAATGCTAAGGTACCAAATTCTCCACAGCAATTTAAGCCCATACATTCTACTATTGTTCCTGTGACCACATACGGAACATTAAAATCCACTGGATCTATTGGTTGTAAATATATTCGAATTGACCATCAAACACATATGGAGCGTATCTATGAGTTGCTTGTTAATGATTGTGGAGGTACAAAACCAGGTCTCATTTTAAGTATTTATGGTGGGGCTAAATATTTCACTATGACTGAAAAACTGGAAAAAGAAATTATACGCGGTATAATTGATGCTGCAGCAACGTCTAGTAAATTATATATATATATTTGTAAAATACAATTTTTTTGTTATTTTAAGATGCTTGGATTCTAACCACCGGTATTAATAATGGTGTATCAAAGTTAATTGGTGAAGGAATATCTCATTATCGTTTATTGAAAGCTAATCCAAATAAAATTGTTTGTATTGGACTAACAAAATGGGGAACAATTAATGAAAGTACACGTTTTGAATTGAAAGAGACACCTAAAGTATCAATAAGATGACATTATTTGTTAAATACATAAATAGTTTTTTTTTTGATAGGAGTGCTATGGACTAAAGCTATTTTCTCGACGAATTCCTGATGATGACGACGATACTGACGAAACCATCGAACGAAACCATACACATTGTATTCTGTTTGACGATGGTAAACTAGGTAGTTATCTAAGTGATGAACAACGAAGTGCTTTAGTTGAACATGCAATGGAAGATAAAAATGATAAAGATAAATGTATGTATTATTGAAATAGTATGATTGTTTTGAATGAATAATATTCAAAGGTTATGGTGTAACAATTATTGTTGAAGGTGGTAGGAATACTATTGAAGTTCTTCAAAATGATATACAAAAAAAACGGCCGATTGTATTTATTGAAGTATGTATATTTTATTGAAAGATGAAAATTACACTATTTTATATGTAGGATAGTGGCCGTTTAGCAGATGTATTTGCTTCGTTAATCAATCAAACAGCTGATGCAAAGAATGATCAACAATTGTGAGTTGATTAAATAGTTCATCTATTCGTTAGATGTTAGAAATATTTATTTATATTTTTACTTTTAGTATTCCATCAGATGAAATTGTGGGAAAAGCTCTGACTGAATTCTTTCCTAGTCTCGATAAAGGTGAAATTGGTCAAATAACGAAAGGAATACAAGAGATATTAGATAAAAAAAATCGTCATTTACTTAATGTTTTCCGTATGGATCGTGATAAAAGTGTTGCAGAAACAATATTTAAAGCTATTTTTACTAGTATGTATTGAGATCAAATAAACTCTTAGTTAGTTCATATTTCTTTTAAAGTGAAAAATAAACAAAATGAAATCAATAATGGTGAACAAAAAGATACAGAGGATGAAGACATATTATTAAATCTGGCATCTCAATGGAACTATTTTGATGGTGCTTTATCAATATTAAAAAAACGACAACATACTACCAGCAATAACAACGAAATTAAAGAGGTAAAGTGAGATTTATTAATAGTATAGAATTTACTGTTTCATTTTTACAATAGAAATATATGACATGTTACAAAAAGTTATTTCGAGAGTCATTGATAAAAAATCATCCAGTTTTTGTTGAATATTTTCTTGCTGCTGGTTTTGATCCACTTAAACTCCTTCGTACTCCAGGTGCTGAACATTTTCCTACTGTTGGTTTTGATCAACTTAAACTCCTTCGTACTCCACATGCTGAACATTTTCTTGCTACTGCTTTTGATCCATTGAAACGCATTGGTACTCAAAGTGTTGAACAACAACGCTATGCAGAACTATTACAATTATATCAAGATACCTATAAGGGAATAGATACGGTATAATTATAAGACTAAACTAATACTTACAATAAAATTTCTTCTTTTTAATAAAGAGCAATCGTGGCTATATAAAATAATTATTTGGTCAATCAATCGGGAAAACAATAGAAACACTTGATATAAAGTTAAATAAATTTATTGGTTCATTTATTGAAGCAATTTATTCAAAAGAAGATAATAAATGTACGAAACGTATTTGTATTGACCTGACAAATCATGTATGTAGTTGTTGCAGTAGTGCAAGAAAGCATCGTGCTTTGGATGATAATCAAGTTTCTCCACAAAATGGTAGAGATACTCAATCTCAGGATCAAGAAAATGATACGGAAGGTTCAGGTGACAATAAGGATACGAATGTTTCAGGTGAAAATAACAATGCGGAATATTTACTTGAAAAGAATAAACTATTACGTGATTTATTTCTATGGTCTGTATTCATGGATATGCCTGAAATGGCGAAAATATTTCTCATTCATCAACAATCTCGTATATGTGCTTCTTTAATAGCTTCAGCTATATTTAAACAATACTCGAAATTGTCGTCAACTGTTGATCTCAAGGAAACATTTCAAATACAAGGAGATGACTTTGGAGAATATGCAGCTGATTTTATCAATGACTGTTACAAATATAATGAACGATCAGCATGTGAATTACTTCTACGACAAGTACCACTCTTTGGTAATATCACATGCATGCAGGTTATCTATTAAAAAAACATTTTTAATATCGATATTCAAACATAATTTTAGATCGCTATTTCAAGCGAAAATATTCAACTAGTTAGAACAGCTTGTTTTGATCAAACACTAACTCAAGTATGGTACAACAAATTGTCCATGAGAAATAGTCAGACATCAACAAGACCATTACAATTTCTATCCATAATAACTTTTGGACTTTTAGCACCAAAGATTATTCCGTATCGGGAAAAGGAAACTGTATGTACACGAAGGTTTTTTTTATATAAATAATTCTGTTTTATTTGATCTTTAGAATATGCAAGATACATCGTAAATAGATATTCATTGTTTTTTTGCCAAATTAATTTCATTTCTTACTTAGATTATCAACAGAAGGTATCAATTATTATGCCGATAAAGAACCAGCTAAAAGTGAATTCAAAAAATATTGGACCCACTTTTGCTATTTTCATGAAAGCCCATTCATTAGAATGTATTATCATTTTGTAAATAAATTTCTATTAAATCAAATATATTAATTATTTTATGTATTTAGATAAGTTATATTTGGTTTTTACTTGTATTTAGTTATATGATGCTTTATCATCTTGATGGTCCAGAAACATTTCGAATTCCACATTGGACTGAAATCTATGTTATTATTACAGTATCAACTATGTTTTGCGAAGACATTCGAAAGGTAAAGTTTTGATTGATAAAAACGTTTATTTTACTCTTTAATAAAGCTTATGCATGAATACAAATATCGAATGGTTGAACAATGGGGTTCAACCAAATCAACTGTATTAACACTTTTAACAAATATATTTCATATTGCATCATATTTTTTATTTTATCTTGGTCTAATATTTCGATATACCGGTTATAAAGATAATGTTTTTGCTGCTGAAAGGTTATTTGTTTATTCATATGAATAATATATACGATAAAAATAGTATTATTTTAGAATTATATGGGCATTTGATCTTGAATTATGGTTTCTTGGCTCATTGAAATTCGTTGTAGCTTTAAGATCTGTAGGACCCAAATTATTTATGCTTAAAAATATGGTTTGTATATTAATATTGAATAAAGATATGCAAATGAATGAATTTCTAGCTTCGTGATCTAGCTGCTTTTTTCTATATGATTTTTATTGCAATAGCTGCATATGGTGTTGTATCTCGTGCATTAATTCTTTACAAACAAATTCCATTTACTAGTAGTGATATATTTCGAACAATCTTCTATGAACCATACTGGTTTATATATGGAGATGTAGCTGATAAAGATTTACTTAATAGTAAAGTTTCTTCTAATTTAAAATTATATACTATTTTATATTTATTTAGAGATAATCAGTAATGGTACACAATCACGTGTTGCTGAAGCAACTGCTACACATGTTTTATTAACATTTCATATGTTATTTATTAATGTTCTTATATTGAATTTATTAATTGCTGTTTTTACGTAAGTATTCATTTTTTTTTATTGTAAAAGACAATTAATTAGAAAATTTAGTGATACGATTGATAAAGTGAAAGAAAATACAGAATTTTATTGGCGTTGTCAATGTTATTCATTTATTCGTGAATATTTTAAACAACCACCATGCGCTTATCCACCATTAATTATAATTTCACATGTTATATTACTTATTCGTTACATTTATTCAAAAATAACCTGTAAAAGAACTGAAGATAATGATCATACATCAGTATCACTAACATTATTACGGAATTTTAGTAAGATTGATAACTTGATTTATCTCATTCAATGAGTATAATAAAATAACTTAGAAATGATCGCAGTAGATGATACAACAAACGAACGTTGGGATGCATTTGAAAATGCTGCGACTCACAATTGTGCACGATCAAAAGTGGAGAAGGCTACAAAGAATGTTCATCTATTATCTGACGATGACCATTCGCATAGTACAACTAGCACGAATGAGTATGATCAATATTTTGAAAAAAGGTTTTTACAACATTTTTTTCTCTCTATAGATCTGAAATAATGAAAGCAATTGTTGATCAACAACGAAAGATAAATGAAGTAAGCTAACAAACTTGTGAGAATTTCCATCATGATAACATTTACATTGATCACACAGAAAATTTACTTTTTAAGTTATGTTTCAAAACTTTAAGAGGAAAGAAAACGAATTTAGAAATAATTATTGTTAAAAATCGTTAAAATATTATTTAGATCGATAAACAAATGCAAGATCATGCACAAAAGGTGGATATACTTGTTATTATTTTTTCTATCATTCAGAAAGATTTTGTTATATATAATAAGGTAACTGAATCATTACAATGGATTATCGATGCCATGGCACGAGTAAAAATGAATGATCGTAAGAAAGCACCACCCGCATTGACATCAATATCTGTTGGTGATAGTAATGTCACAACATCAATTCAGCCAACAGAAAGTTCTAATTAATTCTTTGATTTATATTTTATTCAAGAGTGCTTTCTAGTTTTTATTTAATTATTAATATATATTTATTAAGTATATTCGAAAAGGATGTGGGTATTTGTATTCTTCTTATTCGTTACCGATGCCTGCACCTACACCTACACTCACCCACACCCACACCCACACCTCAAGATTATCCAAAAAAGATCTAATTAATTCATTAAATATAATCTTATTCATTCTGTTGATGATAATCAATGAAATAGTTAAGACAAGTCTCATTACACCTTTTCAAAATGATCATTTTTGAAAACTATTCAGTTTATAAATACTATTTTTAGGGATGAAAACTACATTGATATACAATTTTATTAAATAGCAAGCTGAGAAATTGGTATGAGAACTATTTTCAGAAAGAACACTTTCGACGCTTGTGAGAGTTCGTCTTGTTAGTGGGTATGAATGTACATGATGAATAGATTTTCGTGTTTATTTTTCAACTAGTTAGAAATAATATCGTCATAAGTTCATCAAGTTTGTCTTTTATTATCCAATAGTCAATGTAAAAGATGGAAAATATTCTATTAAATCGAAGCGAATCCTATGCCAATAAATTAGAAAAGTTCTGAAATAATGAAGAAATATTGATTATTGATGAATGAGTCGTCGCCATCGTTGAGGGTGTGGGTGTTGGTGGGTGTAGGTGGGTATGGGTGTGAGTGGGGATGCCAATCTCAAGCTGTACCCACACTCA